TATATGCACACGTACACACACATATGCACACGTACACACACATACACACACGGACTCACATTAATACACAAACACACATACACATACTCAAACACATGCACACACACGCACGCACGCACACACACATACACACACTAACGCACACACACTGACACACACAATTTAATAACTGTCTTGACGTATCCACTTAACCTTACGCGTGCACAGAGTAGTATGGAAGGCAAAGCGGTGCCTGGAGATGGCCTGCACACCAGAGGATCTGGAGACTGAGTTATTCTACCACAGCCTGTCCCATCAATCGGAGATGTGTAAGTGTTTCAGAAAAGAAAAACATTCATACTACGTTATTCTCTGTGAACGGAACGTTCCAATCCAAGCGTTTAGTTTAGTTTAGTAAGAGTTTTACTGCCCTTGTCATAATATAAGGGCCAAATATTGCTAAAATATTAGGAATGTCACTAGACAGTAACATAAAAAAGAAGGAGTAGAGATAAGGACGATAGATGCTTCATAGGAAAGAAGGAGCAAGCCATCCCAGAGCACTGTCTTGCCAAACACCTCCAAATTTTGTGATGTGGAATCAGAGAGTTTTACAGTATTACCAAAGAGTTGTCATTTAAGACGGAAGCGCGTATCTGGGTCATCAGCTGGTAGTGGCTAATCGGGGTAAACAATACAAACTGCGTTTATTGTTCAAGGCATTTCCATTGATCACTGACAAGCATAGCGCCAGTTAGCTCGAAGTGCCGTTCTACTGTAAACTGCACTAATTCTAAAAACATAAATCAAAATTTGAGTTTCTTTCGATTTTTAAAGGATGACAAAAGGTGATATTGTCTGCTTATAAGTACGAATATATTTTGACATTAGAAAAAAAGGGAGCAAAACATTGATCGCCTTATTGTGGTCCTAACAGGCGGATACTCTATGTGCAAACTCAACACACTTCGACTCCGTTCCAACTAAATGTATAATCAACACTCTGTGTGTGTGTGTGTGTGTGTGTGTGCGTGTGTGTGTATGTGTGTGTGTGTGTGTGTGTGTGTGTGTGTGTGTGTGTGTGTGTGTGTGTGTGTGTGTGTGTGTGTGTGTGTGTATGCATGCTTATTCAATATCTCTTTTTCGTATTTTACAATGTATATACACACCAACATTCATGCTCTCAAGCCTAGACAGAGAGAATCATTTCATGTTATATATCTGATCAACAGGTCAAAAGTTGCACAACAAACGCAAAAGTAAGTACCTGTCATAGGCTTATACCATTTGAACTACTTTCTAGATCGCGTCTTCTTGCGAATTTGCGGTTCATCATGGAGCACGCCATTAAATTGAGTCAAATGAATCACAAATGGGGAGGGAGGGGGGGGGGGCATCATGCTCTGCGCACTTGTTATATTATTAAGACTAACGTTTTACCCTCCATCTGTCTATAAAGGGCGTAGCCCATAGTGAGCACACTTTGCAGCGAAGTTTTCATAGAAAGCGCGGAGCTGCAGCTATGACAGTGCGGGGATTACAAGTACATGCGTTTTTCTTTTAATGCACAGTGTACTTGTTTTTACGCCCCCATTGACACAATTTAAATCTTATAGGAGGCAGGTTTTGACCCTGCCTGTCAGTGCCAGTCCGAACTATGAGGGATACAACATCCCAGCAAAGTGACCCGAGATATCCATTAGTTGGTTTTCTTGTTTGCAGTGAGTCAAACTTCAAAGCTCTTTAATGTTACTTTCCATCAAATGATGATGATGATGATGATGATGATGATGATGATGATGAGGAGGAGGAGGAGGATGATGATGATGATGATGATGAGGAGGAGGAGGAGGAGGAGGAGGAGGAGGAAGATGGTTTACATTTCTGGTATTCAAAATAATGAGTAATTTTTTATTCAATATTTCTCTCCTTTCTTTATATGATCCACAGATAATATGACAAACGAGATCCAAGGTAACCACTTTATTTGTTTTTTGTTTGGGGGGGGGG